CACTAACAGTCACCATGCGGCTCCCCATGACCAGACGAACCATGGCCCGAACATTGTCAGGATCAAGGCCTTCCACCTAAAGTGTAGGCAGGAGTTGAGTGGACTTGACCCATGTTTCTAGAACCAAGCACTCCACCCTTACCTCCAACAGGCCTGACCCCTGTGTCTCCCTCAGCAGACTGTGACCCCCAAGGGCAGGGACCAGGTCTAGTCCCTGTGTCTTCCCCACTGGACTGTGGGACTCGGGATATATTTTAAGCATTTAATCCTCAGGGACTTGTGGCATATGTCATGTTGAAAACCGAGGCTCAGAAAGGCCCAGCAAGTGGTCCTAAGTTCCCGAATGAACTAATAAGCCAGGCAAGCCTAAAAGACAAGGACTTCTAGCCTTGCTACCCTAAACCTAATTCTTCCTTCCTGACACTCGCAACAGTCTTCCCTGCTGCCTGTGTTGGGTTCCAGGCACATCGTGGTTCCTTACCTTCCCATAGAGGCCTCGGTGAGGGCCTGAAAGAACGACCACAGCTCCTCCAGGCACCAGTCCTTGAGGCTGGTCTTCCTTATCTTTCTCCTGCTCTTCATCTGGCCTCGACAGGCGGTGTGGGGCAGTGGGGGCCAGGGCCTGGATTTCGGTCAGGTTGGCGCCCAGCCCTAACCCTTTGGGCCTCAGTGAGTTGACACAGGGCCTAACCACTCTGAAGGGAGCACAGAATATGGGCTTGTTGGGGGATGCGATGGTCTTCAATGCCCCATTCTCCTCCCCAACCCCTGCCCAAACCCCACCCTATCAATATATTCAAGAATATACTTTCCCATCTCATGTTAGGACAGGTTTTGACCTACAAAAAAGGCAATTTCATTTGGTTCAACCTAATAACATGCTGCATACACCATCTATTACATAGTATCTACCCTGTAACCAAACACACCAATATTTCCACAAGGGAAATCAAATGTTCACACCAAACAAGAAAAGCAGATTATAAAATGCTCGATGTCAGTTTGGGTCACTTCTAGCTGCCAAAGGTTTATGAAAAGAATGTTCAGAAATGCAAAGGGATTTTAAGTCCATGTGATAACAGCAAATGGCTAGTCTATGCTTATTTGGGGCCAGGGCCGACTGTGAGTGCTTTATGTGTATACTTTCACTCAGCTCTCAACAGACCTAGGAAGACTACGCTGTTGTTATCCTTATTTTTCAAATGAGGAAACTGATGCCCAGAGTGGCAATCTTTCCATAAATGGGATCCTGTTACAGTTTCAAAAAGCAAACAGGAGTTAGAAGCAGTACTAGAAGACTCCTGAATTGGTTAGGGTGGTAGTTTGTCCATCCCATGCCTGGATGGGTCTGGGTGGGCGGTAACCACAGGGGTCTCATTCACGGCCCCGTCCGCTATTCCCTTGCTACCCCAGAACTCACTGGTTGAAGGTGCGGCCGATGCCCTCTCCAGGTTTCCAGCCCATGCCCCGCAGCATGGCCAGCCCGTAGGCCTCCACAGGGACTGCCTCATAATTGGCCTCCTCTGGCGCCTATAGGTTCAGGCATAGAAAGGATGGTCAGGCTTTGCTTACGGTGGGCGCTCTGAAATGCATTTGCTATCACTCGCTAGGTGACCCTCAATGCTTCTTTTCCAGTCAGCTCAAGGGTAACTCGCTTTCCTCTCACCATTCCTCACTTTATTCCTCCAGTTCAGTCCTTGGACAAATATTTACTCTGTGCCAGGTGCTGTTCTAGGTGCCGGAGATAAAACAGTGAACAAAACAGACAAAAACTCCTGCCCTTGTGGGACTTATGTTCCAGTTGTAGAACACAGAATAAATAAAATACACAAAACGTGATATGTCAAGTGGTGATAAATTATTTGAAGGAAAATAAAGCATGTTAAGGAGATGCAGAAGGACAGAGAAAGGAGTGTCACTAAGTTGATATTTGAGCAGAGACCAGAGAGATGGCAGAGGGAGCCATGAGAATATGAGAAGGAAAAGTGTTCCGAGCAGAGAGAACAGTAAGAGCAAAGGTGCTGAGGCGGCACGAGATCTAGTACATGTGAAAAACATCATGAAAGTCAACCTGACTGAAACAGAGATGTGGAGACAGAGAGGGGTGGTGAGAGATTAACTGAGAGAGCTGGGCAGGAGCCACAAGAGGGTAGCAGCCACAAGGGGGACCAGTGAGGAAGTAACTGCAACAGTCCAGATGAGAGATGCTAGTGGCTCAGACCAGCATGGTGGTAGTGGCGATGGGGAGAAGTAGCCAGATTCTAGGCGTATTTTGAAAAGGGAGATGAAAGGATTCTGCTGACAGATTGTATATGGGGTGTGAAATAAATAAAGAGGGGAGTCGAAGGTGATGCTAAAGTTTTTTAGACTAAGTGAGAGGAAGGATGGGTGGAACTGTGATCAACTGAGATGTGGAAGGCTGTGAGAGGAGAGAAATGAGAGAAATGAGGCCAAAGCCGGAACAGGATGGAGAGTGAAGTGAAAGTTTTTTCTTTTTTGTGATGAAAAAATAACAGAGAACATATGAAGGCTGATGAGAACATTTCAGTCAAAAGAGATGCTGGTCTGGGGCTGTAGGAAAACCCGGCTCCAAAGCATTGCAAAAAAGTGAATAAAGAGGTGAAAAGTTGGTCCACGGGAATGAAAGATGGACTTCATTACTTTCGTAGACACATCCCTCACCTTTCCTCTCACCTCCCATCATCACTCCCTCAATTCTTTATAGCTGCTCCAGATACACCGTAAGTTGCCTCACTGTTGTACACACACATCTATTTCCTGCCTCCATGACACTGTCTCAGTCATTGCTGCCATTAGGAGTACTCACCCTGAAATTCCCTTTCTCACTAAACCCTACCTTTTCCTTCCAGGCCTCACTTCTACCACTCTGGTCTTAGTCTCCATCATCTCTAGCCTGGACTGCTAGTCTCCTTGCTTCTATCTCCACTTACTAGTCTGTTCTGCTCACACCAACCAGAGAAATCCTGTCAAGTCATAAGTCTTGTCCCTTCTCTGTTCAGAGCCCTCTCATGGCTCTCGTTTCATTCAGAGTAAAATCTAAAGACCTCGCCATGACCCACAAGGCCCTGCCTGGTTTAGCCCTCCCACTTCTGACCTCATCTACTCCCCGCCTCACTCATTCCACTCCAGTTACATCAGTCAGTCTCCTTGGTGTTCCTCAAACACTCTAAAAGAAGAATGAAGGGATAGGCAGCAGGCCGCTAGTTTACACACAGACTTTCCCTGTTGTGTGCGGGGAGGCAAGCCTGGTAGACAGGGAAGAGAGGCTGGGGCTGGAGAGGGATGAGGGGCCAGCTTACTGTCTCAGCCTGGGGTTCGCCAGCTGCCCCTTCCCCACTGGGGGTGCATCCTTTCTGGATCACGGGGATAGCAAGCATGGGGTCAACACCTGTATTCTCTCTCTCCTCCAGAGACTTCTTGGATTCTAAGGAAGAATGAGAGGGAGCAATCAAGTTCCACCTATGTTTCCGTTTTCCTCCCATTCTTCCTTTACTGGGGTAAGGCAAAGGGGGATCACTCACCCTCAATGAGCTCTTTCATAGCCTGGGACAGCATCCTATCCATTACAGCCTCAACATCTGTGGATGGCCCAGAGGCCTGGGTCGGTGGCTGCCTGCGATAGCCATTCTGGATCAAAGGGATGATGAGTTCCTTCGGAGCTTCTGAGGGCTTCACACTGATGTAGACACAGAGGAGTGAAGTCAGAAGATTAGTATGGTCACTGGGTTCTCAACCACATCTCATTATTTAGAGAAATCACCGAGGGCCCAACTCACCTCCAGTCCCATGGACCATGTCCTCTGTTCTGACTGGCTCGCCTATCTGATGGTTCTTTCTTTCTTTGGATTTTCTCCTCCACCCCCAACTTTTAATTGTGCTTTTGAGGATCAGTCCTCAGTCCATGGCTTTTGCAATCACCCACAAATCACCATCTTCAGCCCAGACTCTCTCCCCAGCTCCAGGCTCCACACCAGCCTCCCCTAACCTTAATCTGCCGTTCCATCCCGTTCCCCATATCAGAGAAGACCCACCGCATCAGGTAAGACATCAGGGGTCTCGTCATTCTCCCCTCCTTTCCTTCTCTCGGAACACAGACGCCTCAGGATCCCCCAGACCGAAAGACACTCCCTCTCAGGAATACATCCTCTCTTGTCAATCCCCACGTCCGTCAGGCTCAATTTCTCCACCTGTCCTACAAACACCCGCTTCCTCACCTCCACGAATTTCCTCTGGCGGTATTCAGGCTTTCCAGGCCACTGTCACCAAGACAATCGACTCATATTGCACCCTCCCGCTTGCACCCACCGTACCAATTTCCAAGGGATGAGAGACCCAGCGCTTCACCTCTGCAACTCTCTCCCTTCCACGGTCTTCAGGAAATCCTTCTCCGGAGCCACACCTGCGCCATCTCCCGAGTTCGCCAGCCGTCTCTGGGCGAACGTGCGACTGAAGTGGAATGAAATCGGGGCAGTAGAAGCTCCTGCCGGCCGCAAAACACCATCTCCAGCGTCCGCCATCTTGCTTCTCTTCCTGGCCGGTGAGCTGCTTGCTGGGAAGTTTAGTTTGGGTTCAAGTTGCCCGGGGCCTGACGACTAGCGTTAGAACTACCTTCCCACAAAACTTCGCGGCATCGACAGATGAAGGCGGATAAGGGGCGGTGGGAAGCAGTCATCGCTCTTCTACTTCATAGGCGCGCGTCACGCCAAGCGTGCAGGGAAATGTAGTTCTTCAGGGAGATAGGCGTGGTAGGAGGATTCTTTATCGCCAAATAGTCATTCTTTCGTGTAGGCGTTTGACTAGTATTTACTGATCGCCTTCTGTGTGCACGTCACTGTGTCCTACTGGTGTGGGAAGTGTAGGTAAGATAAATCGTTAAGAAAAAAAATCTGTGCATGTCAGTTGTGTACAATAATAAATAATAGACATGTAATAATGGTGCTTATCGATGCCAGATTTAATACTCGACAAGCTCTGGATTC